AAATTTTAAAATTTTTGAGTTGACTTATCTAAACAAACCACTTAAGGAATGACTGAAACTGAAATGAAAGTAATTCAAATTTCAATGATTTCAAATTCTTTGAATTTCTAAAATTCTCCATTCAAACACATCATCATGCTTCAAAGCTCCTCTATCTAACTTTTCTCAAATTTTTCTTAATAAATGAAATTATGAAGTTCACATCTTAAGAAAAATCTTATATATTATCCTTTAATTAGTTGACTTTGTCTCTGACTTAAAATAATTCATAAACAACATAAACTCATAAAAACTCTTTAATTTTTAGAGTTTTACAACAAATAAGCAAGTAACTATACCAACAATTAAATTAATAAAAATAACAATCATTAATAAAATGCACAATATTATATAAGTGTGTCAATCAGGCTTGTGTGATTCAAAGAACTATATGTATTCTTTGTTATTTATTAGTTCGTCTAGTATTTTGTTCATCGAATACCCTCACAATATACAATTGAATTTTTAAATATTGTCTTAATATATTATATTAAATTAAAAATATTGTTATTTTAAAATTAATTAATTAATATTATTATAATAATTTACTTTTTAAATCGTAATATATCATATCATATAAATAAAGGTGATGTGACGTAAACTAAATACTCGATTTTATAATTTTTTAAATTTAATATTTTTTTAGAAGGGTCAATTTAATCTTATATTAAAAATAATTTATTCATCTATAATTTTATAACAATATAAAGAATATTTATTTTTTCCTACACATTTTGTCAAAATTATTCACTTTTTTCTTATAAATTAAAAATTTTAAATATACATATCATAACTTTTGATGATCTTACAATACGTAATAATTTTATTTTATTTTATTGAAGTTATGAGCTTGTGGTGTGATTCAAAACTCTCTTCAAGAAAGGGTTTTTGCAACTGTGGTCTTCAATGTTCTTCAAGCTTTGGTACTCATAAGAGAATTGTTGTCCGAAGATTAATTGTACATAATGTTCAGATTGGTTAGTAAAATGGCTAACAACCAACATACTCATATGGGATGCCCTGGCTTTCTTCTGCACCAAAAAAAGAACTGATACGAGGTTAGAAAAATAATATTATTCAGCACTATTGATCTCAAAAAAGAGAAACATGCTTTTGTTCATTTTGTATTCTCCCTAACTTGAGATTTATGTATGACTTTTCTTCTTCTGTGGAGATGTAACCATTAACTCTCTTTTTCTTGTATCATATTTAATTTTTTTCTCACTTATCACTTTAAGTGCTTCTAATCTATTTTATATCATGATACAAACACACAATTAACCGAAAGGCCACATTATTTTATATCATGATACAAACACACCAAAAAAAACCATTAGTCACATACTTTACGACATAGTACTTTACCAACAATTATCACTCGTTGTAGAAGCTCGACAATTAATTAAACACTAGTTTCACGATTTCTTTTATAACGATTTCACGAGTTTGATATTTATTATATTAATTAATATTAATATGTGGGAACGAACAATCACATCATTGACTGTACGTCATCTGCTTTGAGTGGTCCATGCCAGTTTGCTATTTGCTAGTTGATCCTGTCCAATCATTCTTTCCCGTTTTCAATTTTCATGATGTTACCAATTAAGATACCAACCTATATTATAATTATCCAAAAAAAAAAAAGCATACTATATACAAATAATAGCTTAATTAGAAAATACAAGTATTGATCAATTTAATAAAAATATGTTTAGATGTAATTTAGACATAAAAATTATTAATTTTTAATGAAGAAATTTTTAAAAAAATATTTTTAGAGTATATCCAAGTAAATTTAATAATTTATACTCTTGTTCTAACAATTATAAATTTAGAAAACCTATCTTACGGGCTATAGCTATAATTTAGAGCAAAATTTATAATGTTGATTTGTTGAATTATGATAAAAATTAAACACAATATTAATCCATTTATTAAATATTAATATTTTTTTAAATATTTTTATTAAATAAAATATAGAAATATTCATGATATAATGATATTGTTCTAACTTTTTTTATTTACATTTTTTTATATATTTTCATAGTTACTTTTCAAACTCTTAAGAAAAATAAAAAGGAATTTAATTGTTTTATTATATAAATTTTAAACAAGGAAAAATAAAGATATTCATTAATATAATATCCCTTTAATATTAACTATAAATCCATCCTTAAGAACCTAATAAAAATAATATTTATTTAAATTTTTTATTGGTAGCAATAACAATAACACATGATTTGGATCTAATATTCTATGTTTATATATATACATACTATGTTCTACTTGACTTTTGTAATATTTTAATGTGACAAACTATATTTTATAATATTTTAAAAATTAGACCGATCATCAAATTGATTAGAATATTAAATCAATAGGTCAAAGGTCAAATTCGTTAGTTATTAATTAAACTGTATGATCTAATTTTTATTAATTTTTTTAAAAACTATTCGTGTCGTATATTTTATATTTGTAAATTTTAATAAAATTTATGACATGTCTTAAAGAAGTCTCTAAAATAATAATAAAAAAAACAAAAAAAAACTAGATTATATGCTATTTGAACCACATAAATTAAATATGTAATTTTCAATTAAAAATATATTATATAAATTATTTAAGTCAATTATATAATTATAGAGTATGTTAATTTAGTGACCACTAAGGTATTATATAATTATACTCATCTTTTTTCTAAGTCCTATCTTTAAATAAAATAAAATAAAATAACACACACATATATATATAAGACTCTTTTACATACATGAAAATGGTTTGTGTTTGAATGTCACTTTTATGAATATTTTACTTAAACTTTTGAGTGTACTATCGATAGACCAAAAACTCATCGGTTATATTTATGATAAATAATTTATATTATCACATTTTTTTATTTATTAATAATTTGTTTTAAAATGTTAAAATTTAAATTTAAATAAACTCCTATATATTAAATACGAATTTCTATCTTGCACAAGAGTTTTTTTTTTTCAATGAAAAGGTTTGTAGGAATTTTTTTAACTTCTTATCTAATTCAATTTTATTTACCATAATTATTTATGAATTAAATAATATTTTAAATTAAATTATCAAAAAATAAAGATAAAATTTTGTAACAATATAGATTGTTTTTCATAAATCTAAAGTATAATTTATATGTTTCAAAATATTCAGATATACTAATTTTAAATATAATTTATATATTCAAACATAATATTTATGTGTATACATAATTGATTATAATTTTTAATTATATATAATAAATATGTATATATATTGTACATGCTAAAATATTTGTAATCATGATAAATAAAAATTAAATTAGTTAATGGATTAAAAAAAATCTTAAAAAACTCTATAGTCAAATAAAAGCCCTTAAAAATATTTTGTATGTTAGATAGCGATTCATGTTTAATATATAAGAATTGAATTTAAGAGGTGTTTAGTTCGTGAAATGTTTTATTTTCTAGTGAATTTTAATTTGTCATGTTTGGTAGCTATTTAAATTTTTTTTAAGGAATATAATTTTCTATAAATTATTTTTATCTCATTTTCTCACAAAAATATTTTTATGGGGTTAGAATCCAATTAGGGATTGCTCCATGTGATGTACACATTTTTTAGATTATTTGATCCTTAAATTTTTAAATAATAAAAAATAATATTAAAAATTAATAATTATTTTTATAAAGATAAGATTCAAAAACTCAAGGCTTTTAGCTTTGAAAATCAAATACAACAACAAATTAATCTACCAAATAATGACAATTTTTAAATATTTTTATTAAATAAAATATAGAAGTACGAAGTTTCTCGGTCCTATTAATGTATATGAACACAATATTATTTTTTAAAATAAAAATATATGTATAATTGATATTTATCTTTGCAAATTATCTCTCTCGCTCTCTTTCTATTTCTTACCATCTCTCTATCTCTCTCACTAATCACTCCCCCCTCACTCTCTTCCCCTCTCCCTTTCCCTCTTTTCTTCCTTTTTCCTTTATCTCTCTTTCTCTCTTTGTTTCTGTCACTCTCAATCCCCCTCTCTTCCTCTATCTCTCTCTCTTCATCCCATATTTATATTTCTTGTATCTCATTATTTATTGACCTAGTCAATTTTTAATAATATTTTTAAAATTTGTGATATTTTTACAGTTTAATAGTATTTGTTAACACTTTTTTATTTATTCATTTTTTGTTTGAATGAAATGAAATAATATATTTTTATCCTTCTGAATTATAATGTAACATTTTGTTTGTTTGTGTTATTTTTACAATTTAATAGTATTTGTTTTTCTTTTGAATTATAATCTTAATTTTAAGTTTATAACTTTTTAAAATAGTTTAATATCATATTTGTAATAAGATTCAAATATATAAATACATTTAATGAGTTTATTTTAATAAAGAATATTTTTTTAAAAATATTTATATACTTAAGAATATGTTATTATAACAAAATATGTAAATCTTAAATTCTTGAAAATCCTATATGAATATTTCTAAAAACCTTTACGAGTAAAAAAAAATATAGTTATTTCCAAAAATTTTGAGTATGAAAAAATTTTCCTTTCCAAAATTCGCCTTATTCTTTTCCTAAAAGTTCAAATTACATAATTTTTGAAATAAAAAAAAAATTGTAGGAATTAAAGAAAATTAAAGATAATAATAAAACTGATTTAAAATTTTATAAAGAAGAAAAAAAGTAAAAAGCACATGCCAACGGGCTTCATGGAGGACCAGCCTATTTTTAGGCTAGACTGAACTGAAAAAAGTTGGAAGTTAGGGATTGGGATTAAAATTTACAGAATCAAACAGGCACCATATATTATATTGATTTCTTTTATTTATAAAATCATTTCCAAAACTAACAGGCCACAATTCGGCCCATTAAAAGCCATGGGCAATTGGCCCAATTTCTCTAGGCTTTCCTGCAATACATCATAATCATAACGCAAGAGAAGGAAAATTGGATTTTTCGAGGAACATTTGGTTGTTAGGGTTTTGATACTTTTGTTTTGTACGAGTTGCCTCAGAGTCACTCAGCATTCAGCAATGGAAGCAATCACCGAGGGAGTGAATAACATCAACGTCTCCGATTCTTATAAGAAAAACCGCATTCAGGTTTCCAACACCAAAAAGCCCCTTTTTTTCTACGTTAATCTCGCCAAGGTAGCCATTTTCCTTTCGATTTCAAACACGTTAACTTTTCCCACTTATGAGCCATTTCTAATTGGTGCGCGCACGTTGGATTTTGTGTGATTTTGTTGTTATTTGTTTCAGAGGTATATGCAACAGCATAATGAGGTTGAGCTCTCAGCACTAGGAATGGGTATCAAATCTTGCAACTAATTATTATTTATTCATTTACTGCATACCTTTTAATCGTTTTGAGTTTTTTAAGCTATTAATTTAATTGATCACACTGTAACCATGTCTATTAGATTTGAGTTGTGCTAAACCGAAGAATAGTATGCATTGAAACTTTATTGAACTGTAGATGCTAATTTTGGAATACAATGTTGCGTATCAGTCTACGTAAACGTGATTTACTTATAAGCAGTCTCTATAAATGTTTTAAGGCCGGTTGAATAGGTGGTTAAGGTTTAGGTTTCTTTCGTTACGTTCGTGACTCTGACTGCATGTAGTGTGTTTGACACGGAGAAAAATGCTTTGTTCTGCTTACGCGAATTATATGATATTGATATTGATATTTGTCCACGTGGCTTATGCATTGGGGAAAGGCATTTTGGTTTCTGATTCTGTTAGGAAAATATAAAAATCTAACACTTAAGATTTTAGTTTGCTGAATGATCCTTACACTGTAAAATGTTTTTTCATAATTAGAGAAATACTCCTTCCTAAATTTATATTACAAAGCATCACGTTCCAATACATTGTTGGACTGCTGGTAGGATTCACATTGGATAGACATCAGCAGTGGAGGTTCAGATCAGTAGAGGTTGTCCAAGAAAGAAGTTTCCAGCGGATGAGCCTATGTTTTTAAATTTATTAAATAAAGGGTCTATTTTTCTATATAATGAAAAAATATGAGAGAATGTTTTAATCCTTTAAAATCATTTATTTACATTATTTTACTATGAGTTTCCGTACCCCAATTGGCCATTGGAGTATTGTAGTAACTCTCTTGCATCTGTCTATTTGTGTTTGTATTCTCTCCTGGCCACACACTAATTAACTTCCCCTGTCCACGGTTGACAAACATGTTTACCTCCGAATTACAATATAGCTCTGGTGGTTTTAGGCCTACAAATATAAACTTGCGTAGCCTTCTCCTTACTGAACATATCCATGACAGTATTTGAATATACAATTCTATCAAATTCAGTAGTACATGCATTTGAGAGAGGCTTTAAGTAACATGTTTGCTATGTGATTTTTCTGTGTATAGGAAGTAGGAACATAAATGATAATGGATGAAATAAAAGGAAACGAATTTAACTCTAAATTTTTATGTTGTTGACTTGTTTGGTGCATTACCTGTTTATTCCTCATTAACTAAAAACCTGACAAGCCTCTAATATAGAGTTGACAAGGTTACATTCATTCAACTCAAGTACATTGTTGCATGGTTTTATTCTAGGTTTTAAGTATAACACATTTGTTAATCTAGGGTTTAAGTATAATGCATTTATTTTCAGGACAGTAGAATAATATTCACAATTAAAACGCGGAAGACTCGGCTTACTTCATGATTTACATATTGAGTCAATCTTTTTTAGTTTGATCTTTGCCCAGCTATTTCTGATATCTTTAATCTTTATCTTTTTTTTTTTTTTGTAACAGCTATTGCTACAGTTGTTACTGTAGCTGAAATCTTGAAAAACAATGGGCTTGCTGTTGAAAAGAGTGAGACATTATATTATCTTTTTAATTGTCTTCCTTTCTCTTCCCTCTCTCTAATGATTGAACAATCAAATTTGATTAATGATGGAATCCCTTTGTAGAAATCATGACATCAACAGTTGACATCAAAGATGATTCTAGAGGAAGACCTGTCCAAAAGGCTAAGGTAAGGATATATACACAATTCTTGCTTTAGAATATGCTTTTGTTAATCCTTCCAATCTATGGCTTTTGATTTCTGCTTTATGACTACCATTGTAAAATACTTTTGATAAATCACATTTTAGATTGAAATATTACTGGGGAAGACTGCAAACTTTGATGAGTTGATGGCTGCCGCCGCTGCGGAAGATGGTGAAAATGGAGATGTTGAAGAGCATGCCGCATAAAGTTCATCGAAGTTACACCTGTCTCGAGTGAAGATGTGTACTCTTTAATGAACACCTGTCTCGAGTGAAGATGTGTACTCTTTAATGAACCGCGCTTGTGTTGTTCGTAGGTAGCAGACAAGCATATAATTCGTTATATAGACTGACCTGCAGTGTTGAATTATGCGATTCCTTCATTTCTTTTCCCTATAAATAGAGGCTTTTTATGTCTTGGCTGTTGCTGGGTTCAGTTAGTCATTTTTCGATGGATAGGAAACATTGGCACATTTAACTACTTCAGTTTGAACCATAACAAACAATATCCAGAGTTTCAATATTTACTGATCGCTAACACTTCTATTTGACAGAGTCGGGTATCAAATTATTAGGTTCTAAGTCTTTAGCGGTTTCTATATTTTTAGCTCAGTTTGAACCTGTCGGTTAGAAGATATACACGGTTGTCGGTAACTTTTTGGATATTTCAGTTGGGACTCCCCATTTCAAGGCAATCAAGTTGCTTCAGTTAAGCAAGTCGATAGAGAAAAAAAATGTTGGAGCAAATGGGTTTGTATACAACTTTGTTTATGTAAACCACTATCACTAAAGTTGCTTGATTATTTTTTTTTTAAAAGTTGCTTAATTATTGTGAGTAGAGAAGTAAAATTAGGTATACTAAAAATTGTATTCATAATAAGTGTTGTAGGATCTATATTGAATCCTTGTTTTAAGAGTGTGTTTGGATGGAAGATTTTAATGAAATAATTTATTTTTTTTAAGGAATTTCAAATATTTTGGTGTAAAATGTTCAATTTAGATGAGAAATTTATAAATAAAAAATATTAAAATTCAACCATTTGAATTTACAAAAAAAGAATTTTGTTTGGATTTTAATATCCTTTCTAATGAAGTTTTGTTAACGAACTCTACATATCATGACGGAAATAGTATTACTGATTTATTTATTTAGAATTTAGGGTTTAAGGTTTATTATTGATTTGTTTATTTAGATGTGTTTGGTTTAAAAAAACACATTCTCTAAAATATTGGTTATGATTATTAAAATGTTCCTGTTATACAAAAGATGCAATTTAAATATTATTTTAATACAATGCATAAAAATAAAAAATAAATTAAGGCGAGCATTATAATTCTGTTACAAATAATTTTTAACATTTATTTATATAAATCATCCTATTTTATTTTAAATAATAGAAAAATATTATAACTTTTAATAGGGCGTATTTCTTGAAAATTAGAAAAAGTACTTTTATTTATTATTTTATTTTATATATAATTAATATGACGTTAAGGTGATCCAGCTTATTTTTTTGCTAAATTTATATTTAAATTGTTTTAGATATTAATTATATTTATTTATTCATAGATATTAACTATATCTTAAGTATTTTTAAACAAAATATATAATTTCATCTACGTATCTGACTTGAGTATTGCATGGATAACATCATGAGGTTCATAACAATGTTAATTTCCATATTTTTATTTTTCTTCAATTGTTTTTAAAACTATATATAATTTTATCTGCCACGAGTCTAATTTATTTGAGTATTGCATGGATTACCTTTGCTTGTTTTCACACATTACCAATCTTTATATAATCAATTAATTAGAAATTATTTTAAAATGGTGTTTTAAAGTAAAAATAAATAATAACATATTTTTTGTATAAAAAATAAACATGTATTATTGATTGTTATCCAACCATAATATGTATATACAATAAGTTTATTATGTTTTATAAAATGAAACTTAGATTAGGTTTTTTCTTTGTAATAAGTAGTTAAAGTCATCAAAAGAACAATTTCTAATCACGCATTAGTATAAAGAAATTATATTGCCTAGAAAAAAAAATATTTCGTCTTTCTATATAATATTTAAAAACAATATAACATACAAAATAAAGATAATAGAAATTAAATAATAATTGTAGTTTGTAATCCAATAAATTGAGATAATTATAGGAGAAAAATGGTTTAAAATATTTATTCTAAGGAAAATATTTTATTTGGTGTATACATTTTTTTGGACTGATTTGTCCTTATAAACACCTCTCAAAATATTCTTTTTCTCTACACATTTTTTTCTCCAAAATAACTATTTTAAAGGTATTTTGAAATTACTAATATTTATTGAATTAATTAATATTATATTTAGTCTTTAAATTTTAAGGTCTCAAGTTTAAATTTTAAATTTATAAAAAAATTAATTTTTAATATTATTTTTTATTATTTAAAAACTTAGGGTAAAATAGTTCAAAAAATTATGTCTAAAAAAATTCACTTTTATATAAAAGTATAGATTTATCATAGTAAAATTCTTTTATTACATGCCAACACGAAGTACTTTTTAAGTTAGTATATAATAATAAGAATATACGTAAATCAGTCTCTTTATAAAATACAAATAATTATATTATGTGAAAATATTTTTTAGAGACTTTTTTTTATGAAAATATTTTAAAAATTCTTTTGAAATCATATATAATATATTTTTATTATAATTATTTATGAATTAAATATTAATATTTTTAAAATAAATTATCGATAAATAACAAAATCTTGTATTACAATATAAATTATTTATTAT